ATTCTTCAACTGATTTAATATGCAATAGCTTATTATTACAAAAGGCACTGGTACAAGAAATTCATGCTAACAAGCTAACTAGGGGAACTGAGGGCTAGTTGTTAGTCTAAATCTAACTACTCCCTCTGTCCCAATTTAAGTGTCATAGTTTCCTTTTTGGTCTGTCCAAAAATAGGTTTTTCAATTCCAGCAATCTACACGGCAAACTTAAGATCACAAGATTTAAGAACTATACAAATTTTTCTTAAACTCCATGCCTAATCAAACTAAGGCACTAAAATTTGGGACGGAGGTAGTATAATCTAACAAGTAAAATGAGTTTCCTAGAACATTACCAAAACAGTTCCTTTTCATTATAAGCTAAACAGGGCGCAGGATGGCAGGAGCATCTTGGGACATCTTAAAACATCGCTTCACTAGGAAATTTTCCTAACCCCTTTTAAGTTTCAGCCTAAGCAACATTACAGATCTGGAAGGGCTTGATTTTCAGACTTTGCAAGGGATGGATGGATTACTCTACGGGGTCTTTTTTTTAAGCCTGTTATTTTACCTGTCCTATAACCCTCAAAATTCTAACAATTATATGAAGTCAAGGAAAGATGTGAGATTCAACACAAGTATGATTCAGCATTTGAAAGAATATGTTGCTTACTTGTTCAGACAAGGGTGCTCCATCATCCATGTTATGACTCGAAACTTTTCCAGCAATAGTATTACCATCAGTTTCAAGTACCATCCTGCAAGCATACATTACAAGCACAAAAAGCTAAGTCAAAATGCTGATTGTAGAAGTTGGAACAGAAGGAAACAATGCAAAGTGGTTAATAGGATGAATATGGTACTTGAAACTTAACAGTAGTACTAGATATCTAGAACAAAAGAAGTATACTCTAACAAGAGAGCTCGATCACAATCAAATTACGGGAGGAATGAACGTCTGAATAATATTTCTTTCAGTGCACTTGCTAAACTACAACTACTATGTAATCATCAACTTACCCGCCATCCACAATCTCATCAAGGCATAGAAGAATGAGATCTAAATTCTCAAGTGCCTCTCTCTGGTCAACATTATTCCTGAAACAATTGCACATCAGATAAGGCAACAGATCAAAAGATCTCAATCCTGAAATCAAGTAGTTTTAGAGCCTTCACTAAACATACCTTAGGAGAAGGGTAACTGCATCATAGAAACCCTGAAGAACAGTGGCTAGAACTAGTTCATTTTCATCATCACCCCCAGTGACAAAGAAATGGAGGTCTTGCACAAACTTATAGACAATAATGTTGTTCTCGAACATTGTTATTTCAGCTGCAGATCAGAACTCAAAAAGTAAGCCCCCAAAACAACTTAAGCACATTAAAACTCAAACTTTTCGCAGTAGTTAGAAGACGAATAGTCCGATTTTTCCTCCACGGCGGTAAGGGGCTAAAAGATCTACTACTTCAGTTCCTGTTTCAATTCCTGGCTCCTCAAACTGGAACACTTATAGGAGCTCCTGTTGTCAATCACTGTTATTCCTCTCGTTAGACCGTCTGTAGCACTCATAGCTACAGCCCTAACTCGATTATTTCCTAATAGTCGTTGTACCTCACAAGCCACATTAATTGGTTGACCAACACTATCTCGACTTTAAACTACCAAAGCATTACAAATATTTGGCATCTTGCCCGGGGGAAAGGCTACATCTAGTACCGGACCGATGATTTGGACGACACGCCCCGAGTTTTTATTTCAAGCGTGGAAACCCCAGAACCATAAGTAGTAGGATTGATTCAGATAATAATAAAATAAATTGTCGACAAGTTTTTTCCAAAATTATCGAATTCAAAATAAATGTCTGCTAGCACGTTGATCGGTTAATTCAATAAAATCGGAATTAGCACTTGATTTGTTTGGCACCATGCAAGTGCACCAATCCATTAGTTTACTTATTCTTATTCAATGAGACTGAGTTAATTTGGAAGCTCACCCAAGAATAGAAAAAACTCGAGAAAAAGTTGTTAAGTCGTCACCTTCAGAGTTTCTTAATTCCAAGAAAGTATGTAGTTGCAAAACAAAAAACAGTATTAGTTCTAAAATTTTGGCCCTATTAGTTGTTGCGGGTCACGAACTAGTAACTTGTTTTGAATTTCACTATATAAGACAGCAAATGCAACGGTACTCCACAAAAAAATGCTAAAAATAGTTCAGACATGAAAATCAAGGTCATTCAAGCAAGAACAGGCCCCAATACCTTCAGTCCGAGCATTTGTCTTTTGAGTCTTGGTGAAAATAGATTTTTCGAACGCAACCTTAGCGTTGTTTGTCGGCCAGTCATCAGAGTAGTATTTAACAGCTACACGCTTTCCTTCCGAATCCAAAAGAAGTATGTTCTTCACCACAGGACAAGAATCCTATATAATCAAACAATCAGACAAGTACCAAACTAATCCGTTTGTTCAATTTATTTGTCTTACTTTCTTATTTGGTCTGTTTCAAGAATAACACATTTTCTTTTTGGCAACTCTTCAATTGTAGCTTTCCACAGGAGGTGTTCCAAAAGTCTACTTATTTTCTTAAACTAAGCCGCGTCAAGTCAAAACCGGACAAACAAATTAAAACAGAGGGAGTATCTAACTAAACAAGTACTCCAACACACGATTCCTCAATAACACACGTTTAATTTCTAAAAATCAAACGGCTATGACTAACAACATATAAGCATCTGCACCGAGTGAGATCTAACTTGTAAAACTAAAAAAAGGCGATAACTAACATATGATGGTTAACACCAGGGAAACCCAACAATGATTATATCGCAACCATTGATATACTAAAACTAGAAGATTATCGATATCACTCCACAATTAAGCATTCAAAAATTGGATCTAACAATAAATGCGAACTTTTTTGAAGAACTCTAATTGAATCTTGCGCCTAATAAAACGTAGAATAGAAGAAGAGAAAGATTACATACATAATTTAGAAGGAAACCCGCCATTGATGAAATAGCGATTCACCGCCGGAATTTTTCTTTTTGTTGATTTGCAGTGAAAGAAGTAGCTGTTCGCGACAGATTTGGAAACTGTGAGGGGCATTAGTATAAATATTGATATTTCCAGTCAAGGCTTAAATTGGGCCGTTAATGAATTGGGCTTCTTCAGAGTTCAACCAAGCCCAGCCCATATAATTCCCATCCTTGTAGCATGGGGAAATGTGCACAAATAGCCGGGTTTATACATGTTTACAAGTTTAGCCATTTTTAAATCACTTCAGACTCGCGATACATATGTATTTGAACATTGTCCTGTTAAAGTCTAATTTTAGATAACATGTACGCAAAGAAACTTTGAAACTTTTCTCATTTTTGTTTGAGCTTGTGAGATTATTGATTAAATAGAATTGAATAACTATACTTTAGATATATATGCATAAAGTTCAATAGAACTCTATTCAATATTCTTTCCTTTTAGATTAAATATCAAATAATTCGATCATGTTAATTACTTAAAATTAAATTAATTAATCAGTAAGCATGATTACAGTGCAAAAGTAAAGAATGATGGTTTTCTTCTCGATGTCACAAAAAGAAAAGTATCTAAATTAAAGGTTTGTTTCATTTTGGCCGTTTGCTTGTTGAAATTGCGATTAAATTATGTTTGATCTGTTTTGCTTGAAGTTACTTACCGAGAAGGAGCTAAACTTTGTCAGTACTGGCTACAAATTGAAAAAAATAATAACTAAACTAAACTCACGTACCATTTTGCTACCTTGTAGCTAGACTAGATTTATTTGTTTTAAAAAACAAAAAAATGTGCTGCTAATTCATAGTCTGGAAGTTGATAGTGATTTGAATTACAACAATTAATCCTAAGCGTGAAAATATGATTATAATAAATATTAAAAGAATGATAAAAGTTTCATACATGTGATTATTATTGAAATGAATGTCAGAGTTGAACAAAACAAAATATATTACTTCCTTTGAGCTTTATTATAAAATATATTTTATCCTAAACATGCATCTATTTTTAAAAAACAAAGCGTGGAATTAGAAGATTAAACCATCGACACAAATCTTTTGTTTCTTACCCAACTTTTACTATCGACAAAATTCTCTTAATGCCTCTATACATACTCATAAGAACTCATACACTCCAATTTGTCCCAAGACTAGATGCAATGCACGATAAGTTTGAATTCGAGAGCCTTGATTAAGGACAAGCCTTTTGATAATAGATTAGGCGGGCGGTGTCCGACTAAGGAGTGTAGAATGCAGGGCCACACTTGCATTTCCATCCTTCAGGCTCATAGTTAGTGTACTGAACTCCCACTCGACCTGTGTTGGTGGGTACTTGTATGGCTTCACAAGGCATACATCCATAGCATTTGTGGTCACAGCTTGGGGGACTAGATCCTATCGATTTCATCTCTTCGTTACTCACATTACTATTTTCTACTACTATTTTCATTTGTCTTTCTCCTTCTATGCTCATATTTCCCTGAAAAAAAATGAACTTGTTTAGTACTCCATTCGAATGCGAAGAAATCAAAAGGCAAAAGATTTCGATAATTACCTTATTTGTACTCAATTTGTGGTGTATAGATTGTTGATTTGATGTCAATGGCCTGCAATTAACACATGATAAGGAGAGTGCAACTATAATTAGGACGAAATAGCTGAAGTTACACTTCATTTTATAATGGCACACCAAGTGTTTGTATAAATGAGGCAGTGAGACTGTGAAAGAGAAAGAGACAAAAATAACAGGGGATTTAGAATAATTGGAGATTGATCATTTGGTTCACTTCAAAGGGTGTCCATATCATGATAGCAGCTTTATAAAGGTAGCAAAGGAAAGGTCCCAAAAAGCAATCCCTCCAAAGCTCCTTGGATTTCTCTAAGCCTCTCTCACTCTGTAAGTTGTATTGGTAAAAACGAAATCTTTACTTCTCAAACAAGTGATACTACTTTTATTCTGCACCTTTCTGGCTAAAAAGCCTACACCTTTACAACTTTTTTCTTTCAATTTTATTTTGCTTAGTTGTTCTAGTCTTGTTTTGACAACTCAATTCACCTTATGATTTACAGTATCTATTTTCTTTCTTTCTTGTTCTCTATGTACACGTTGCTTCAAATCTTGAAATGAAACTGGAAGTACCCTTTTTAGGTTCTGAGTGACACCTGAATACAGCAGCCTATAGCAATTGCAGGTTAATTAACAGGGAAAAATTGTGGATGCCTAGACTGCAGAGCCACCTATTCCCCCTTTTGGTCATATTCTGGAACTGGACAAGAAGGAAAATCTTTCTTTAAATTCTTTTTAGTTTTTAAATTCAAGAAATAAGTACACAGAATCAATGTCTGATAGATTCAGTACCAAAAAAAAATTGAAATTTATGTTAGTGAACAAAACTTAAATAAATTATATATAGTACATGATAAAATGTATGAGTAGTTAACTACTTTCATGGATAGGGAAGCGTTAGGGGCACGGCCAAGTAGGACAAAAATTAAACCATTTTGATCTTTTTCGCGTGTTTACTTTTCATATATAATTTGAACTTCGTTATAGAAACTCTGGCTCCGCTCCTGCTTGGGAGCACTGTGACCAAAAAAGTTTTTCTTATTATCCAAAAAGAAGAGCTTGATTTTCTATTGGACCCTGCAAGGGTTTCTGAATTCATCCATCCAAAGAAATGAAGCCTTTCATTGACTTTTAGCATTAGGCTAAAGTTGAACTAAGTGAAGTAAGTGCAGCTGATTAGCTGATTACAGCATCACCATTGAATAATGAGTTGCAATAAATAGGGAAGAAAGAATGAGGAGCCAATAATTAAACAAACTTTTTTATTTTGGTTCTTTTAACATTTGAGGTAAGAACTGTGAAACCTAACCTGGGAAGCAAGCACATATAAAAGGAAAGCTGATAAGTACCATTCAATGCACTGTTTTCATTTTCTTTTGCTTTAGTTCTAGCTGATGAGTGGCAGTGAAGTAGCATGTGCAGACTAAGTCACTTGTTAGCAATATGGTTATGGAATCAAGAAAATACTTTTCATTAAGTTTTTGATAAATTATTTGTTACTATCTGCTGCTTTTTGTTATTTTGCCGTTTATTTCCTTGCAACCTTGCTTCTTATTATTCCGCATGTATGTCACCTATTCCAGAATTTGCTTGTGAGATGATACTAAATATGTTAATTGTATTTATATGTATTAAATGAACCTATAACATAAATACATGATTTAAGCAAACCTACTCGATTCTACCGGCCCATAAGTAAAGTTGTAGCACCACCCTTGACTAGGGATTATAGTATCGACCCATAAGTAATGTTGTAGCACCACCACCCATGACTATATGGATTATAGTATGAGTTCTTTAAAAGAGTTGAAGATAATAGTAAAGCCAAGGTTAGTTAAACAATATCATGTACATTTTAGAGTTCTGGGTTCATTGTGGTACTATGTTTTTTAGTATTTATTTATTTTCATTGATGTTCAATCAGTGAATGATTTGATGATACACTGTGGTCTCTGTCATTCAATGACCATGCTTTCTGTGTTTTCAAGATTTTGAACAGTTTGATATATTGGGATTAGAGGGCACCAAAAAGTCCTTCCTTTTCTTCTAACAAGCCAAGAACTTTCCTATCAACTAAACATACATGATTTACCCAAATATTATATTTTTCTGTTAGAAACAAACACTTCTTTGCTTCTGCTTCTGCCCTACAGCAAAAAAAAAAAAAAGGCTTCTACTCCTATTTAAAAGCATTTTTATTGATTACCTAAACACGTTTTTTCAGAATAAATGTTTTTCATTAATAATAAGTGTTTTGATGTTACAACAACAATGTCAAAAAGACTAACTATATAATGTAAAGGATATTTTGTTAATACGGTGCTTTTCACAATTAATAGTACTTAACACTGCCTTCATTGGTTGTCTCTTTGATATTATATGTAATCTCCTTCTTCTTTTGTCTGTTCAATGCTTTTGGTTCGTCGTTTAATCTTTGCCTCTTGTTCCACTTTGTTTCTTCTATGTGCATCTTCTAGGCAATACAAAACATGTGCTTTTGTTTTCTTCTTTCTGTACTTGTTTGAATGCCTTCTAACATTTGCAACACTTCCTTCATCTCTGGCCTGTTCTGTGGCTTTACATCCCAACATCTTTTCATTATATCCGACAATGCTGTTGGACAACATTTTGGTATCTCAGGCCTTCGATCCTGTAATTTCCAAAACAACTTGTTAGTACACCCAATTACTTAAAGTTGAGTATGTGCATATATATAACATGTTGAGTTTGTAACGAACTGATGAATCGATGAAAAGAAGGTAAGTACCTTATAAAGTTGATGTGAGATTTTACTACGAGAAATGTGTTCAGGATATGGATCTAAACAAGTATACATTTCCCACAAGCAAATTCCAAAGCTATAGACGTCACACTTATGATCATACGACACTTCGCTCAAAACCTGGTGAAATAAAAAAGAAAGAGAAAAGATAATTTAGTACTTTCAATTTACAAAGGAAGTGTTGAAGTTCTTGTAGGAGCATGCGACTTTTAATACTAGACTTGTTGAGAATTTAGGGGTTTATCATTCATGTTGTAAAATCGGGATGTATTTAAGTTTAGTTTGTCAAGTAAAGTAGTGTTTCTAACACTATTAATAGTTCGGAGATGAAACTAATCAACGTTGAATGTAGATGTGTTTATCTCATAAAGAATATTTCAAAGATGATGTAACGTACCTCCGGAGCCATGTAACCAATAGTCCCACTTGTTCCAACCATCATAGGAGAATAATTCAAGCCAAGAGAAAAAAAATGACTTGATATTCCAAAATCAATTATCTTCACTCTTCCAGTTTTGTCAAGAAGTAAATTTTCAGTCTTCACATCTCTATGAGCAATCTTTTCTGAATGAAGGTAACTTAATCTGCAATTTATACGTATTATTATTGTTAGAATGAAAATTTTAACATATGGTTTAATATGTTTATGAATTAGATAATAGATGAAGATGCATACATACCCTTTAACAACATCGATTGCAAGCTGAAGAATAGTATCCAAAGGTAACTTCTTCTTCAGTGTGTATTTTGAAAGATAGGATGTAAGAGTTCCTCCACTAACATATTCCACAACAATGCAGCATCCATTTACTGAACCTTTTTGACACTTCATTTTTATCTTTGACATATCATTCTTTTTTATAGCTCCAATAAACTGCACAAAATTAATATATTTAATTGTTATCAGCTAATATTCTATTATAGGCTCAATAAGAAAAGAAAGGACAATATTTCAAAAGGCATAAATCATAATGAATAAATATCTTTCAAACTGACATGTATGGTAGGTCTTTCTACTTTGATTATGCATAAGTAGATACATAAATTTGTTAAAAATTGAATAAATAGACACACAAGTTCTACGTCGCATATAATACATGTAAGATATCACATAAGATACAAAATTGTCATGTAGGATACCGTACAGGATGAATGTGTCAATTTGTTTGATTATATAAGTTTATATGTCTACGAGTGCACAACCAAAATTAAAGAGTGTTATGCTAGTTGGTGTCAAATTAAACGACATATACATGTGTTACGTCTATTTCAAATAATAATGCTTAAATAGATGGGAAGTTAACTTTGTAAATAAACGAATAATATTATAAGGAAAAAGAGAAAATAATGAAGTAGATATATACCTTTGCAATATTGGAGTGTTCAAGTGTGCTCCAAATAGAAACTTCTTGCATGAATACCTCTTCCATCAATCCTTCTGATGAATTCTTCTTCTTATCTTCCAAATCAAATATTTTAACTGAAATTCATACAAAGAATGTATTTTAATTAAAAGTTCACCAATTCTTTTTTATATATATAAAATTATGCATACTACTCTTTGAATCCATAATATTAACAATACTAAAAATTGAACCTATCGAAAAAAAAGTTAGTACGTACCAGCGACTTTTTTTCCATCATAAACACCTGCATAAACTGATCCAAAACCTCCATAGCCAATGAGTTTTTTGACTCTGAGTTTTTTAGGATTTAATTCCCATTCTTCATTTTCCGTGGTGATCTTCATGTTAATTAACCTAGCAACTATTACTTAACGACTTAACCTAATATTTTGTTGACAAATTTTTTATGTGTTGAAATTTTGATGTATCCCACCTTTAGTTATATATAGCAATCAGTAAATCCGTTTTCTATATGGAATAGGCTTAATGATTTTAGGAAAATTTTCTCTATTTGAAATAGGTTTATTTAAAAGATTAGGAAACTATGATTATATGTTTTCTATATGGAATGGGCTTAATGATATTAGGAAACTTTTAAATTAAAAGATAGATACTATTAGGAAACTATAATTATATGGAAACTATAATTATATGTTTTCTTTCTATATGGAATGTGCCTAATTATTAACATTAAATAGTCGGTTAAAGTGAAATTAAATAATTTTAGTAATACTAGGCTTCTAGATTCTTCCTATTTCTTCTTCTATTTCCCTTTCCCGCCAAAATATTGATAGAAAACTAAATTACTGAGTTTGACGAGAACTAATTATATCATGATATATTCATAGTTCGAAAGTTTTAAATATTTACATATTAGTTAAAGAGTTGTTTAAAAAGAAAAATGTTTTATTGTTCCATACATTACAATATTTCAAAATTAAATGAGTTAACTAATTTTATGTTAGTTGTTGGTTTTACTTTTTATTCGAATTTGATATACACACAAAGATTGACAATTTAAAAAATAATTTATTGTTTTTATTATCATAATCATCTCGTTGTCACTACGACACTAGCTCGTGGAGGTAGAACTATTTTAATTTTTAATTAAAAATGAACACATACAGTGCGATAAGAATTCAAATCAATTATCTCTTTCACCACACTAAACTCAAGAAATCTAATGTGATACACACTAATCTGAATGCAACAATTTATTTTTAAAACTAAACTGGTACATCATAGGGAAAATTATATGAATAACAAACTAATCAATCAAATTAAATGTTATAATCACACTTTGATTTAATTATGTCCGGTAGCAAACTGTTTGTTAGTCACCCATCTCCTTCTCTCGCTTGCTCCCTTTCACTTTTATACAAACACAAATGTACAAAATGTGTTTGTATAAAGCGAGAAAAATTTATATATACACATACATTTTCGTTCCCTCTCCCAGATCTCGCTCGCCACCCTCGCCTCCATCGCTTAGACAAACAGAAACGAAATGTATAAATTGTGTTTCTGTTTTAATAAAACGAGAGAAAATTGTATGTATACCTGAGAATACATATATTTTCGTCTTATACAATACAAATATTTTCCTGTCTAATTTTCTTTTATTTTTTTTTCTTTCTCGTTTTATACATACACAAATTATATAACTGATTTGTGTACAACTGTTTTCTATTGTATATGTATAGCGAATTATACATTTGGTTTCTTTATATATGTATAATGAATTGTACATATTTATGTTTGCTAGGGAGCGCAATTATGCAATTTTTGTTATAACATACAAATATAAATTTTGTGTTTGCTATATGTGAAAGTTGCTAATGACTAAGAAATTTTTGCAACTACAATAACCAGGGACTACACCCTTTTATCTCATCACAGGATCAGTTTCACGTAGTTAGATCAAGTTTGAATAATACTATGTGAAAAAATTATTAGTTGAGTGATTATAAAAAATATTAACTCAAAAGAACTAATAAGATACAGTATTCTTTTTTCTTCCATTAATTACTTCATGGCGTAAATTTTTCATCCATTATATTAATTACATTTATCAAGAAACCTAGCATCAAGAAGACAAGAACTCACTATTTGGTCATTAAAATCGGTGTGTTCTTAAACAAATTCAATTGTTATTCTAAACACAGATTTAGGGATTAACAAGAACAATTAAATGGGCTTAGGGTGCAATAATTGATTTCATATATAGATATTACACATTGCAATGAAATTTTGAGCTAATGCCTAATAGATAGGGCTAATTATAAGATGTAACTTTTTTTTTGAATTTTTACATATCCCAAATCCAATTTTCTTTAAAAAATTAAAAAAATCGAATTTGTGGCTTAAACTATATTAACCTGCATTGAGCAATTGTAATATGCTGAATATTAGGGAACTACTTTGCATTGTTATAACTGACATTTTAGCTCATTTTGATCAATCCAAGTAATATTAACTTGTCTTTTTGACACCTCAAATCTCAACTATCTCTTTGTTTCAGTTTTTACTCTTCGAAATAGAGTCAAATTTGCAGATAACAAATGGTAAAAGTCAAGTTCAAATAGCAGAGAAAAGGTAAAAGTCAATAAACTAGCATTTCACGATAATTCTCATTTTTGTATATTTCCTAATTATCGTTCTTTCATTTGGTCCTCATTACACACTACTAAAAATTCATTTTTGGATTATAATGTATTCATATTGGAAAAATTGAGAAGTTTCCAATTTATTGTCACTACGCTTTTTCTATTGAAAAAAAATCTTCTATAGCATAGTCTCCACTAATCTGTGATGAAAAAAACTTTTGCTTCTAATAATTAATTGAAAAAATCATGTTATACTAATTATGTTATGCAGAAATTAATAATTGCAAATTTCAATAACCAGAATCAAACAAAAATTGAAATCTATTAAAAGATGCATAATCTTTATAAAAGATTTTAATTGAGAAAAAAAAACAGAAAAAGACAAAAGTGTAAATTACACCCCTTCTTAGACGGAAGGAGGAAAAAAAATAGAAGCTTAGAGATTGGAGAAAAAATCAAATGTCAAAATATTATCCAAAGGTCACGTAGAATTTAACTAATTTTGAAATGTTATATATTTCTAGATTATATATATTTTTTACAAGCACATACTAATTAAATATTATCAGGTTCAGGTTCAATTAAGAATATTAAAGTGAAGAGCAGGGAAAATCGAAGCAAATCAAAGATCAACTACATTAATATTCACATAATTTCTAATGACAAATTCTACAGTTATCCTTGAAGAACACTTGTTAGTTTCTAATTAATCTCTATCATTTTTATTTTGTGTATAATTTTTTATCAAATACAATTTGAATTTCATATTTATAATTTATACAGATGGAAGGCACTAGATTTTGCAACTCTTACACAAAGTTCTGTTTCTTTCTTTGACGTTGAAAAGACAGAGACAACAGTTTCGCGCTGGGTACGAGCTCAAATCCGGGCTTCAAAGGTACGAAATATAACAGTCGTGCTCAATAATAGCATTTCAGTATTATTATAATTGAGTGTTTATAAGAATCATTTTTTTCATATTTATCATTATAAAAAGATTGGACTGTATGTACTCCCACATATAATATAATGGAAAGATAATCTTAAAAGCTATTACTAAGAACTAAGTTGAGGCGTATTCAGGATTTTAAAATGATGGATGCACTATTACGAAGAGGTGGATCTAAGATATAGATTTGATCGGTTTAACATATAAAATTTTAAAATGATAGGTGCAACATTGTTTTTACATATCCAAACCACTCAGAGAAGCGTTACCCAATTTTAGAAAGAACAATAAAAAACGAGATAAGTAAAAGATTCAAATTTCTAACCTCATTTAGAAAGGTACACCCAATCACAATCACATCGTATGATACTTCAACTATGGATGTACAAATCTATATATAATTTCAAATGGAGAGCATGGGTTCACGTGAACTCGATGACCCCCTCTTGGATACGCCTCTGAGACTAAGGTCAAAATCATTTACTAATTTATATGTTTTTATTATAATTTGTTGGTGTAGATTGGAAAGGGCTTGTCAAAGAATGAGAAAGCTCAAAAACTAGCTATCAAGACCTGGTTAGAAGCTGTAAGTGAAATGTGTCCTCTTATTACAAAGAACAATATGCATATTACTAGTTTTTTTGACAATTATTTACAAATAAAATGCAAATTCAGATAGATCCAAGACATCGATATGGTGTAAACCTAAATCGTTATCATGATGTGTGGTGCAACAGTGGAAGTTTACAACCATTTTTCTACTGGTATGTACTATATGGAACTTCAATAACTAAAATTAGTTACTAATTTTATCGATAATCTGTTGCTAAATTGAACATAGCTAACAATTTATTTTCTTCTAAAAAAAAAAAGAAGTGTTGCTAATCTATTCTGAATAATATTAGCGATAAAATTTTTTATTAGCTACAAAATTTGTTCATAGCTAACAATTATTTTCTTCTAAAAAAGAAGAAGTGTTGCTAATCTATTCTGAATTATATTAGCGATAGAAATTTTTTATTAGCTACAAAATTTGTTCATAGCTAACAATTATTTTCTTCTAAAAAAAGAAGTGTTGTTAATATATTCTGAATAATATTAGCGATGAAATTTTTTAATAGCTACAAAATTTGTTCATAGCTAACAATTATTTCTTCTAAAAAAAGGAAGTGTTGCTAATCTATTCTGAATAATATTAGCGATTGAAACTTTTTATTAGCAACAAAATTTGTTCATGGCTTTTTAGTAGGTACAACCAAAAATAAAAAATTGGTAATATTTTTAGAAGCTCAATTATATGAGTCCGGAGCCTAAAGGGTAAAAAATGTTAACAAAAATTCCAAAACGGTATATGAAATTTCTTTTTAACCAAAAGGGCAAAATCGCTCGCGAAGTAGCGATTTTGTCCACTGAAAAAAGTAAAATCGCTGCTATAGCAGCGATTTTCAAAATAAAAAACTTTTTTTTAATATTTTTTTGATATGTCGCTACTTAGGCAGCGACTTGTGTATAATTTTTTTTAATTAATATTTTTTGTTTTTTTTTTATAAAAAAATTTTAAATCAATTTTTTAAATCAAATAGCTGCCAAAGCAATGATTTTTAATTAATTTTTTTTTTAAAAAATAAATAAATAAATCGCTGCCATTTTTTTTAGTGATTTAATTTTTAAAAATTAAAAAAGAAATAATTAAAAATTGCAGCAATGTAATTTTAAAAAAATATTTTTTTTATTTAAACTTTTTTAAATAAAAAAAGCAAAAAAATAAATTAAGGTAATGTCGCTGCATAAGCAGCGACTTACTTAAAAAGGTATAAAAAAAATTTTGAAAATTGAAAATTGCTCCCTCGGGAGCGATTTTGTTTCAATTTTATTTTTTTTTAAAAATCAAATTTAACAAAATCGCTGCTATAGCAGCGATTTTGTTTTTTCCAATGGACAAAATCGCTACTTCGCGAGCGATTTTGCCCTTTTGGTTTAAAAGAAATTTCATATACCGTTTTAGAATTTTTGTTAACATTTTTTACCCTTTAGGCTTCGGACTCTCAATTATATGATAGTAATCATTAGCTAGCTTCTTTTATTTTTAGAAGGTGAATAAAAATTGTTTGTGCACTACAAAATTTACAGGTTAGATATTGGTGATGGAACAGAAGTTGTTGTGGAGCAATGTTCAAGGAGTGATCTACAGTCCCAATGTATCAAGTATCTTGGACCAGTAAGCATTTTATTGCCAATTTTAGTCTGATTCTTAGTAAAAAAAATAAGGATATAATAATTATCACTATAGTTTATATTTCTAAAGTTTGTCCAATGGTTGTCCTCAATAACAATATTTCTAAGGATTTTTAGTATTGCACACGCAAAACTCTCTAAAAACTTTAGTATTATAATGAACATATAATAATTATCATTGTAGTTTATATTTCTAATGTTTGTCCAACGGTTGTCCTCAATAACAATATTTCTAAGGATTTTTAGTATTGCACAAGCAAAACTCTGTAAAAACGTCTATTATTCAAATATATATTTTTTTTACTCTTATAACTAAATGTTAGTATTATAATGAATATATATAACGACATAAAATTGATTTGGCAATTAATGTTATTATTGAGGATGACTGTTATGGTATATTTACTATGAGATATTTTTGTTGTAATTTGTGAAGAAAGAGAGGGAAGCTTATGAAGTAATTGTGAAGAATGGAAAGCTTATTTACAAGAAAAATGGTGTTTGTGTGGACACAATTGAGGGTACCAAATGGATTTTTGTGCTCAGTACCTCAAGGACCTTATATGTTGGGCAGAAGCAAACACACCATTTTCACCACTCTAGTTTTCTAGCTGGAGCTGCTTCTCTATCATCTGGAAGATTGGTCGTCTCTAACGGAAATCTCAAGGTACGTAACTGCATTTTAAAATAATCACTTTCAAGTTTTAATAATTGAATTCTAAACTTAATATTTATACATATTTCATGAGCATACAGGCTTCTAATAAATGTCATAGTATACTAATAATCTCTTATCCACACCCTCCAACACATTCACCATGACACCTCTTAATTACTCCGATCACACCCCATAATATTTACCTGAATTATATATAAGTTGATAATATTTTATATTTACTTACCAATCTACACTAAAAAATGTATACATAAAGAAAATTATTTCTTGGCAATTTTTTTTTCTCATGTAATTAATTTTGACAGGCAATATGGGCATACAGTGGTCATTATAGACCAACGGAAGAACATTTTGAGGAGATAATAAGTTTTCTTCAGGACCACCATGTTGACCTCACCAATGTTAAGGTCAATATATTTATAAATTGATGCTATTTTAAATAAGTTGATCTCCTAAATATGGATTATTAATATAATTAAGGTGAGGATTAATTAACTAACTATATTGTTATTGTTTTTTGTTCTTAATCCAGAAATTCGCGATAGATAATGACGTAGCACCCGACAAGTTAAAAATATCAAATGAATCAAAAGATGATGGCACCAAATAAAATAGAAAATTTGAATAGATCATTTTTATCGAATGCGAGCACCTTCATGTAAACAACTAATAGGGAAATTATAATAGAAGTGTTCTTTATCAATCATCGTCTACATCATAAAAAATTTCTAACAAAAAAAATAGGATTTTAGTGGACTATGTTATTATTCAGTATCTTTAGTTTATATTCTAAGAGAAAAATATATATTTTATTTGTAAACATATTTATTTGATTTCGTATAGGAACATGTTTTGACTTTTGTCATTAAATTTACGCTTGTATGAATATGTCCATGAAATTTAATATGGATTCAAGATTCAAATCGAGTAACAAAAAATGATTCAAATTTTTTAAAATTTGAAATTCTCTAATAAATGTTACCAGGAAAAAGACCAGCTATAAATAGGGAGGAACACCAGTTAGATTTCAGAAAACGACTTGAGAAAGAACCAAAAAAACATGTCAATTGGACAAAATTTAAGTGAAATAACTAATATAATGGTAAATTTTGACTCATTTTCCCGTGTAAAATGAAACATAAAAGAATATAACTTTGCTCATGAACTAAGCAATACAAGAGAAAACTTTCTACAAGCATGGTGATTGGGAGTCAATAATCGAAATATACAATTACTCAATTTCAGAAGTTTACTCTTTTTGAAATTATTGTGTCTAAAATTTCATATGGTTGAATTCTATGCATATATGATTGAAACTCAATTATTTTATCTGGCATTTAATCAATTTTACCTGAACTTACGTCTTGCTAACTAAAATTAGGTTCATCAAACCTTGGGGTGCTCCCATTTTATTTGTAAGAAAATGTTAGGACCGTAAACAAGCAGGTGTAAACACGGAAGCTAGCAATGCAAACCTCGAAAGACCACGAGTAAGAAGACAATGAGAAATATACCAAAAAACACAAAGATTTACATGGTTTAGTAAATCGACCTACGTCCACAAAGGAGATAAGCAATCCATTATAAATATGAGAGTACAAAATACAGAGTGAAACAACCTCAACCAATTAACTCGGAATACATGGGAGATTCACACAAGTGATAACGTATCAAACTTGTGACCCATAATTCTCCCCCTAACCAAAACTCTCAAATCTCTTGAGACTACATTGTGAATACTGATTAAGTTAGAAGAAATATTCTCTATTTATAGAGTCCTAAAACCTATTTATAATAAGAAATCAGGACAAATAAACAAAAAAACATAGTATGATGCACATGTGTGTTGAATTCAACTTTCAAAAGATAAAAATATAGACCAACTCATTTATAGTATAATCTATACAATTTCATCATACTTTGTCATTACTATGTTTTTTATATAACTTAAATTTTGTATTTAACCGCGCGACGGAGTGAGCAATAGTTCATGTAATAAGGTGCACGAAACCCACGTCGTGAGGAGCGGGGACTTTCTTTAATTATTATTATTATTATTATTACGCAAATTTAATTAAACTTTAAAAGCATGTTTTAACTAATTTTATTTTTCAAAAATTCCTTTCGCTTTTCCACTAATATATTATATTGCGTCAGTTTAAACTAAGGTTGGAAAGTGCAAAAGTCAGTCAAAACGACATCGTTTTCCCTTTCCAAAAACTATCCGTTGCAGCTTTTCCCTTTTTTTGTTATCTTTTTTAGAATTTCAAAATTCAAAAACCAAGAAACTCCTCGCTGTAGTAATTAAAGCTCCTCAAACCCTTCAAATTCACAAATCCCAACAGTTATCTTTAACTTCCTTTAAGTTTTCAGACACCATTTTCTATAATTGTTCTGTCTGTTCTGTTTTTTCTCAAAACAAAAACCATTTATCAAGCTGCAGAAACTGTATCAAGATCATATTTTTCAAGAATGGGTGGTTCAGGGAAGTGGATTAAATCTTTGATTGGTTTAAAAAAGAATCAATCAAATGATTCTGTAAGTTGAATTGGCTAATTATAGTACACTCTGTTTCTGTTTTTTTTTTTGTTGATGTTTTTTGATAATTGAATTGTTTTACTTTATTTGGGGGGTTTTGTAGGAGAAGAGTTGTGGAAAGAATAGGAAATGGAAGCTGTGGAGGAGTGCATCGGGTGGAATTGCTATGGCGTTTTCGAAAGGTGTAAAAGGGGGTGGAAATTTGGGAGATTCGGATGGATCTGAATCTTCATTCCTGTCTGATAGTGCTTTGGCTGCTGCTATTGCTACTGTCATCAGAGCTCCACACAAGGATTTTGTGGTTGTGAAACAAGAATGGGCTGCTCTTCGAATTCAGGCTGCCTTTCGTGGTTTTCTGGTAATTTGAATGACTTGGGACACAAAGTTGTTAACTTTTTTGTTATACTTGGTTCAGCTTATTAATCCGTGTAGAAGATTGGTAGATAGTTAAGTGTTGTCTTGCTTTTAGTTTTTTCTTTTTATAAGTACTTGAAGCCTCTCTACCTTGACGAGGTATGGGTGAATTCTGAGTACACTCTACCTTCCCCAGGCTCGGGGGATTTCATTGGTTAGGTTCTTGTTGTTGCTCCATTTGTCTTACTCAGATGCGAACATGAAAGAAATTGAATCATGTATGTTTGCAATTCAAGGGGAACAGATCTAGATGAGTTATAATTTGTAGGTAACTGCTTGATTGTATGTTGAGTGGCAAAAACTAGACCTATAACACCTTATATACTTCTGTTTTTCTTTCTCTTGTCTGAGATGAGCTTTAATGGACACTCGAGATTGAGGCATAGTTGTTGTATGGTATTCTTTCTCTAAATGTTAAGAGTATAATATTTTTGCTCCCACTTGATGTTTTGCAAATGATTTATATAGCTAATGAGAAATTTTTATTGTTATGTCAAAAGGCAAGGCGCGCGTTAAGGGCACTTAAAGCTGTGGTTAGGCTACAAGCTATATTTCGTGGGCGACAGGTGAGAAAGCAAGCTGATGTAACCCTCAAGTGTATGCAGACTCTTGTCAAGCTGCAGTCTCGAGTTAGAGCCCGATGCAATCAAACATCCGTTGATGGAGATGCTACAAAAGGGCCTCTTGTTGATAGCCAAGCTGATCCAGTTAAGCAAGCTGAGGTATGTATTTCTCTATAAGAGTAGTGTTTGACCTGATACGTGTTTTTTAGCTGCTATAGCAAAATGCTGTTATATAGAGTATATTTGTTGGTTCCACCAAAGTCATAGTTGTTATGGTGAAATGTTATTACACATGCTGACTGTTATTGAGAAGTCTGACTGCAGTATTCAAACTATCTAACTTTTCGCTTTCTCAGGGTGGATGGTGTGATAGCCCTGGCACAGTGGATGAAGTGAGGTGTAAGTTAAAAATGAGACAAGTTGGAGCAATCAAGAGGGAGAGGGCCATTGCATATGCCCAACAGGTACTATATTTAATTCTTTAAAACATGTAATATGACAGAAAATTTCTATATACATGTAACTAATTGGCCTGAAAATATATTCAACTGATCTATTTCAGAAACTGAGAACAAACCCCAGCCTGAATTCAAGAATTAGGAAAGTTGAAACCCTGAATAAGTTCAAGGCTAATGGGGATTCAGTTTGGTTAGAACGTTGGATGGCGAATAAGCCTTGGGAAAGCAGACTGGTGGAAGATTTTCATACTGATGCATCAGGGATGACTCCGAGTTCTAGGAAGTATGAAGATTATGATGCTGGATCTTTAACTGACCGTAGTTCAGTGAGCATAAGACGGAATAACATGTCTACCAGGATATCAACAAGAGGACCAATGAGTTGTCAAATTGCTAATTCATCTTCTGAGCCTTATACTGATTATTATCAATATGATGATAGTACGACTTCTCATTCTTCCATATCGACTTCTGAAACTCTTGGATCGAATCAGACTCCTCCAGAAGACGGTCATAGCAAGAAACCAAACTACATGAACCTCACGAAGTCTATTAAAGCAAAGGTTAAGCAGAGGAATTCAAATTACTTGTCTCACAGTATGCAGAGGAATTCAACTGATAACTTACAAGTCCATAGGAAGTCAAGTCCACTTTCGAGGACGATAGCAAGGAGAAGTGCTGATTGTGATCTTTATTCAGTTGATCTGTGTAAGGATCTCTACCCTCCCTCAAATGCATTTTGATCATCTTAACTGGAAGACAAAAGGCGATAGATGCGCTATGAGAGGGAGTGGTAGTGAGTTTTATTTGTCCATTTAGCTCAACAACTTGTTGTCTTGATAGTAAAAAGGGTTTTCTTTTGTTTACATAAATTTTAGAATTAACCAATACATAATGCATTAGATGAGATTTTCTCTAGAAAGATGATTTACGAGTTGATTGCTGAGATGGTCACTCAACTAGTAGTGTAATTATCTCGGAAAGTCCTTGTATCATACTGTGTGCTTGCTATATTTGTTGATTGTGTAAGTTTCTGTTTGTTTTCGGACAACTTATTCGTTGCCTTAACATATATATTGGATGGATAATGTTTTCTTACATGGTATCATAGTGTTTATACTCTTGATTCGGATTATTTATGCTGGTAAATTTTTAGAAATATAATATCTCTAGTATATTATATTTATGAGAACTTTTATAGAAATGTATGGAAGTTCTTGAACAACTTCACTTGTTAAGTTTATATATCGTGTTTATAATCCATATTCAATTGGTAAAACAAGTATCACTATAGAAAACATACTCCATTCGTTTCAATTTATGTGATCTTGTCCTTTTTAGTATCTGTTCCAAGCCAAAACAACACATATCTATTTAAAAGCATTAACACTTTCTGTGTTATCTTTTCGGAGTTCATAGTTGCACCATGACATGTTCAGAGGCTGAACCAGAATTAGAAGTTTCTGAATTCTAGCTAGTCGCTATATTTAAAAACTTTTTGGGTGTCATACTATGGTTAAGCATCCATCTATAAATTTGGTGTAAATGACGGATGTATAGGTAAATTTGCTGTCTTTTCTTGTTATATTTAAATAATATATATATATATATATATAATTTCTTTAAGATAATTTTGGGCTTGCTTAAAGATTGGATCACATGCATGCATCAATTTGGACCATGATGAATTTCTGATAAGAGAAATAATAATGAATATCATCTTGAAGTTTTCAAACTTCAATCCCAGTTTTGTGCTTCAAATAGACTACTCAT